CCAAAGCCAGAGCCAGAGGGTGCTGGCAGGTGACAGGCAGCCTGCCTGCAGGCAGGAAGGCACCCTGCACCCCCACCCCACCAGAACCTCCTGCCAGACTAGGGAGGCCACGCTGCCCACACAGCAGCACCCCGGGCTGCCCACGGGGGCTGCGCGTCGGAGCCGGGGACAAGACTGTGAAGAAGAGCCCATGCTAAGGCAGGGACCTTGCAACGAGATGCTGCAAGACAGCACTTATTTTAACTGGGGAATACCAGCATGCGCTTATGCAAATAATGAATTAATAATGAACAAATGAAACTGTGCGGTAAATGCTAACAAAGCTCAGTCACCCAGCACAGCACGGTATATTGCAAAGCTATGTATGCCATATAATAGCTAAACAGGTTATTACGGAGATAAAAGGGTACAAAGACTGGCCTTCCAGAGCTGTTTTCCATGGCGGTGGCAGCACCAGTCCTTCCTCTTGCTCCCGACAAGCCGTGGGGATGGTCAGCGTGTCTGGCCCTGCCTGCACCAGCTCTCCCTCAAGCTGCAGAGAAAGGCCCCAGGGCTGCCGGGTCTGCGCCAGCCCATGACCCTGCTGTGACTGCACCGGCAACTCTGGCCACCAGTGCAGGCAGGGGAATGGAGCATCAGGAGCAGGGTTCCCCGTCCCTTTGGCCGTGCCATTCCCCCCAGACCCCCCCCGTCTCTCACCCGGCCCCTGCTCACCCACACCCTGCTGCTCCCCATCCTGCTCACAAAACCAGGTGCAGCAAATGCCTGTCTGATTGCTAAAGACAGAAAAAGGAAGGGGAAACCATGCTGCACCAGACTGCAGGAACACACACCCTTGCCACTTCCCTTGGGCTTTCATCCTTTGCCCCCCACGTATTCCTGTCTTTTTATAACCTTCTTGCAGTGCAGGGCTAAATTTCAGCTGCTAATCTCCCAAAACGAGAACTAAGCCCTTGCTCATTTCTGCAAGGTAACATCACGCTTATGGATGCTTTAAAAATAAGAATCAATAATGACACAATCTGGCTATTAGTCAAACTTGTCTGAAAAACCCCCACAGCTCCCGCAACTCAGAAAGCTCTGTCCTCATGACAGGGACAGCAGCTACAGATTTTCACTTCTAGTCTGGAAATTTCTTTGCAGAAGACAAATAAACCTTGCAAAACCCCACACACATCCCACAGATACTCAGGGGTGCTGTCATGCCCTGAAATACAGGAATATTTGGGGGGGATCAGGGGCTACCTGGCAAGGAATGCAAGCAACAAGTCCAGATGCACACAAATGAAACTCATGCCACGTTTTGGTACCTTGCATGAGTCGATCTCAAGGAGGAAACAAGTATCAGAGCCTCTGGCAGCTCGCAGACAAGCTGCAGGTTTTTACCTGCAAGGGAGTCGCATAAGAAGGAAGCAATGGGATCAGCTGCATGAAAAGGCTTTTGAGGCCACACATTACCTCCAGAGATAAACTCTCCGTTAACTTTCCTGGCAGGTAGGGAAGGTGTCAGCTCTTCCCCGCATGGATGTGCCATCATCTGTAAGTCTCTGCTGGGCACTGCCGCTTCCCTCCCAGCCACCCTCCCACTGCCCTCCCCTTCCCGGCCATGTAGCTTCAGAAAGTGGTGGAAACATCCATCACCCGCGAGGTCCCTCTCCTGCACGGACCTGGTCACCGATGGGCAACGGGTTCTGAAGCTGCAGAGGAGACAAGCAGAGCTCATTTCTCTATTTACCACTCTTTTACAAATCATCTTTTAACTGCAAACAATTATTCCTGTGGCGTAGACACGGTAACCTACAGCATTGCAGGGAGCCAGGCTATGGTTATCTCCAGAGACCGGTGTCTTTGTGAGCGGAGGATCAATAACCAGGGAGGCCGGTGGCAGCCTCATACCTTTCTGGCACTTATTCGACCAGCTCAGAGTCTGATTTGTGCTTTCCCATTTATCCCAAGCAGAAGAAATGGACTCTATTCAGAGTATCTTTAAACCAGACACCAACCTTCTAAAAACTATTTTGTACATTATTTATTTAAGAGGAGTCTTTGGAGCTCCTAAAAAAAAGTGCGATAGCCACATTCTGACATTTAAAAAAATAATTATACATATATATATAGCTTAAATAATATATTTTTAAATTACCCTGTATTATTGAAAGCACAGAGAAACCACATTTTATTTGTATAATCATCCACACCGTTCCAGTCTATTTGTGAAAAGGCTCTTATTTTTCCTCTTCCCTATACCACAGAATATATAATAAACTACAAATCAAGTAAGAGATCTTCTCCAAGGCCACAGGACTATTCTGGCCTTGTTTTCACGCCAGGCCATGGGATCAGGGGGGAAAAGGACTCAGCACGCCAGGATGGAGACTAGAATCTCAGGGCCTATTAACTTTGATTCTCTAATCTCAAAAGACACACTCATATGCCTATGGCAAAGTTTCTCAACAGCTTTTACAACCAAAGTTCTCTGTTTCGTTTTGCTATAACCTATAGATAAAAAAGAGGAAATTTCTCAAAATCTTAGTAACTCGGTAGCCTTTTTTAGTCTATATATTGTATGGCCATATAATTTCTAGAGAAAATGGTACAAACATCTCAATTATACCATGTCTGAATCTGTTAAACTTTTTTTTTTCCTCAGCAGTTAGTTATCAAGAGTTTGGCTTTCTGTTGTGAACTCAGTTTTAATTGGAACCGGTTTGGTAAGCCATTGGTGAAGATTTTAAGCGTAATTTTACTCCAAGATGCCAAAATACTGTCATTCTTTGAGAGTAATTTTTTTTTTTAAACTACTCAGTGTAACTCGCAAATCTTTCCTTAGTGCCGTCTAACTTCCAGGGCTCGTGGAGAGACGGCTGTCATAGGCTTCATTCAGTGCAGTGCTTGGTTCCTATAAAAATTCAGCAAGAATTCAGGTGCTCATTCCCATTTGTGCTTTCCTGGTGAAAACTTCCCTGGTGAGGTCTGCCCTGTGATCTTGTTAATTTGTACCTTATAAAGTGCAAGGCCTTTTCATTACACTCGAATGCACGGTGCATTATTGAACGATTTCTCAAAATAGTAAAGGAAAACAACCTGTAAAACACTCTGTCAGGAGAACTATATACAAAAGGATCTTTTCTCATTTCTTGGCCTGGGCCATCTTGCAAGGTTTAATGGAACTTTACAAACATGAGAAAAAAATCAGACTTCAGCTAAGGCGGCACCTTCTTTTTAATGAAACTTGAGTAGATAGTGCCTTAACTGAAAATTCTGCGAGGCCTGTGTCACATCCCACCTGCGGGAAGGGGAGAGCGACTGAGGTCCGCAAATCCCCTCGGTGTGGATTAAGGTGAAATAACACTCAAGGTCCAAAAACAAACTCCAACTGTAATGGCACGAACACTTCTATAAGCATCAACCCTCTGTCTTAATATATAATACAAGCTAAGCGGCTTTGTGAGGAGTTGAGGTAGGCCTTGTACTACTTAGCAACATCAAAAGCAGAGAGCAAGAAGGAGGAGGGGGAGAGAGAGAGAGAGAGAGAGAGAGCTGGGAAGCAGGAGAGAGGTAGAGAGAGATAAAGAAATCGCCAATCCTGGGTCCAGCGTCAGACCTGCCAACGGGAGGGAGGGGTGTTGCTGTGGAGAGTGCCCCAAGGAGGCTCATGCGCCCCTATTTATTGGCTCCAGCCCAAGGGTTCTAGCGTCTTTTGA